TGTGTGTGTGTGTGTGTGTGTGTGTGTGTGTGTGTGTGTGTGTGTGTGTAAGACTTGTGGAAATCAGAGGACAACTTGTTGGAGTCAGAGCTCTCCTTCTACCATGGGGGTCCTTAAATTAAAACTCAGCCCATCAGACCTGACAGCTGGCATCCCCATCCAAGCCATCTCACCAACCCAATCCAAGTTCTTTAATCACAACGCATGGACCAGGATACAAGTGGGTGTGCTGTCTCTGAGCAATCTGTAATTCACCATCTGTATGTATGATTCCTCCCATTTGCCCTGGTCAGTGCTTTCCCACTTGGAAAATGTAGGTAATCCTGCTTGCTTTGCTTATGTGGCTACTAGAGGTTACTACAGGAACTCTATAAATGACCGCGTACAGATAAGAACCGCCACTGCCAGACAGCACCCCACCATGTAAGGCATACTACCACTCTTCTTGAAAATCCTGTGTTCGAGATGTTTTCTTCTAATGTGCAAATTGTTCTGAGAATATATTTATGCTTCTCCTTGGCATGGTGTGACCTCTGCACGTTCCTGTCACCACTGATCACATTATGCATGTGGCTAGAACCTCAAAACTACCTCTGGGAAAGAAAAAAGAACAGAAAAGAAAAGAAAAGAAAAGAAAAGAAAAGAAAAGAAAAGAAAAGAAAAGAAAAGAAAAGAAAAGAAAAACAGCTACTCCACAATGTGAATTTCAGCTAATTCCTCACTTTTCATGTATTTGGATTCTCCCCTCATTTTTATCTAGGAAGACCCAGACCGTGTGCTCTTCCACCATGTAAGTGATTAACAACCCTTTCAGAATAATAAGTATTCAAATACAATGCACTTTGACTAAAATTGTTCCATGTGCCCGCTTAGCATGTGGTTTAAATAGTTGAACACAGAATACTGAAAGTTGGTGGCTTTTGGATCTGTAAATTGATAATAAAAAGCAGGCAACAGAAAAGAGCCAATTACTTCATTCTGAATTAACACAATTGGATTTCCCTTTAGGATGGTTTAATCAAAGCTAACACCATTAGGGACAGCTTACAAGAGTACAATTGATTTTTATACACTATCCTTAATATTATAAAACACTTCCAACTGGATTGACTTATTTCTTTCATATAAATATAGTGACATATAAAACTGCTATTAATTGAAGCTACTTTAAAGTGAATTACTGGAGCGCAATGATGCGCACTGATATAAAAGCACTCAAGAGATTTCATTCAGATGCTTTAATGTCAAGACATATCTCATTTTAACTTAGGGAAAAGAATCAAAGTTCTTTCTTTCTCTTCCCAAAACTCTTTGCGGGGCAGGCTTGAAATAAGTACTATTAGTTGTCCAAAAGAAATCTTAAAATCATAATCTTTCCACTTAGATGTGATTTAAATAATATATTTTGATTCAGTAACAACTAGGAAGAAAGTTATTTATATAAATCATCTTACCTATTTACAATACATATTAGATAGAGAAATCTCATAATCTGCCTATGACCAGATGATCTCATAGTTAACTCCACCAGTCTTTGAAGCACTAAAATACACATTAAAGACACACCTTTTAAGCATGTGATGATCTTTAAATTCTTGGGCTCTCTTGATACTTCCTCATAGATCAGGTTGTGAAAGAGATTTCTATTACTACCGACTTTCTAATACTACTTCACATGGTATAATGATTCCAAGGCGGCTTTGACCAACAAGGGCTCCTCAACAGACAGTGATAAGAAGGCCTGGATTGCATTCTGATGAGTGTATTATAGAGAGACTTCTTGTGAAATCAGAAGCCAATACATGGAGGGAAAAATAATCTCTGCACTGCAGACTGGAAGGTTCATTCAAGGTGGAAGAATCCATTTGCATTATGGATCCAATGTTGAGCCCTATGAACAACTGCATGGTCTCGATATATAGGCCTGGGTATCTCTGGCTCGCAGCCAAGCAGACCTATTAATCCTTGACTTCTTCTTGATTATTCACCCAAACAATCCAATCTGATGTTTTGGTCACAGGTGATCTCTTGTTATCTGCAGTTAATTTCCTTCAAAAGTTGGAGTGCATGTCACTTCTTAGAAGTAGTGGGAACAGTTCTGCCTCACAATTCTTTCCAAAACAAAGGAATTTTAGTTTCTAAATTACCTCAGAAAATGTAGGACAACTATCACACACTGTCACTCTAAATTTAAAACTTAAAGAAGTCAACAAATCATTATGTTTCTGGTTGTGAAGGAGCATCTTGTCATAGTCTGGGAAATATAGATTTTAAGAGCTTAGTTGAGTGGATTGCTGAATAAATACTGGTTGTTATAACCTGAGGTCAGGGAAGACTCTCACACTAAATAGCAACCTTGACCTGCAGGAAACATAATCATAGTCAGGTGACGGACAAACTCACTAAAGCATACATATTCAGAAATAGGAACTCTGTCCCTTCCCCCAGATACCTGCTGTAGTCAACACCAATGTCATTGACCTATTCCTGACTATTTTAGATAGCCAGCAAATTAATGTGACCACTCCTTTCTGTTCTTCAGCTGTGGGATCCTACTGAACACTAAGAAGTATTTATAAATACCTCACTCATGAAGGTCACAGGCTAGAGAAAGTACACAGGCAAGATTAATGGTACTGATAAAATTAAATGTGCTGTGCACTTGGCTAGCATCCACATAGCCTTGGGTTTGTGTACCAGCACCTCAGAATAAGCACACGCACTCACGCGCTCACACACACACACACACACACACACAGAAACTCACATCTATGATGTGTAAGCTCAAGTGTGAGTAGACCAGTAGTCAGATTTTATAAGTGTCATAAAATTAATCATAAATTCTCTCATCTTTTCCAAAACCTGATAAGGGATAAGTTGACTAAAATTTAAAATAAAAGACTTAATCTTAAAAAGAAAAACTATAAAAAACCCATATATGTTCATTGACATCTCTTTGCCCAATCTCTGTGAAAATCAAAATTTTATTAGATTAGAATTCCCAATGGAGAATTTTTTTTCGTGGTTAGAGTCCTGCTGAGAAGGAAGGGGAGAACTCCCATTGTCTTTACAGTGGAAGACAGAAATAAAGTATTCCCTGACACAGAGCCAAAATGATAGAGAAAGTAGAGTTGGTCCCATAATAACACTGAGGCTACAGGAAAGACGCTCTACAAAAACAAGTCATTCCCTGCTACTTGCAAACTGTTTTGATTTCCCACAGTGGCACAGAAAGTCTCCTGGCCACAAGTTACCTATCATCTTAATTTCTGCATCTTAGAGGGTTTGTGTTTGGTTTTTGTCCTTAATGAGACATATTTGCCAAAGAGGCATTCAAAAGACATTTTTTGCTCTTGCGGAAGAATAATTAGGTCGGTACCTCCTACCCTGCCAGCATCAGCCGCCTAAAGAGAACCCTGCCTAGTATTTAATGCCCAAACACAAGAAGCATCATTTCCACTAATTGGTCTTGAAGTTCCGATGTTCCCAAAGGGTCTCTTTATTTTGCAAGGATCAGAAAGGACACACGTAAAATGTGATAGCGTCACCAGTGACCTTCCTGGCTCTCATCTGCACTATTACAGTCATCCTTTCTTATATTTTTTTTCCAATGGGCAGGAATACAGTGCCAACTGCAGGAGTGAGGAAGCATTTGCAAGTTTGCTGCTGATAACATCTCTTGGCCAAGTTCAAAGGTCATAGCAGAAATGTCTATAAACGTGAGCAGAAGCATAAATGCGTAGCATGTACAGGAGTTTGACTCCCTTGATGGTGGGTGTCTTTTAGAGACAGCGTTGAGTACTTAGGGGAAAGAGGATAATGCTGGAAGATGCAGACCCAAGAAAAATATGGAACCATTTATTGAGTAAACTGGATATAAACACAGTATATACTGTTAACCTTGATTTTGCTTGTTTTTCTTCTTCCTACAGCCTAAAAGGAGCTTTTTGGTAACATGTCACACACACACTCATGATGAATAGTGAAAGAAATTATTTAAATGGGGGATGGACATGTAGCAGAATATTTACACAAACATTTATCATCAATAGCTCTCTGGAAATGGTTTTATTAACTCTCAGGGAGTTTCCAATTCTTTAACATAGTAATGTCTTTAGAAACATGGCCAAACAATCATTAGGCAGAGCTTGAACCATCCCCATTCAGAAGGGCCAAATAAATCAGACTTGAAGAACAACCTACCTACTCCGTCTTTTGGGTTAAGTTCTCTGTTTTGGCTATTCTCTTTTTGATTTGTACCTTGAAAATGAAGCTCAAAGGCCTATCATTTTGCTATGTTTTATCCAAGTGACAGACAAGCTCTGGCTGTGGCCTTCTTTGTGTACTTTTAGGACAGTTTCTCTCTTTAAAGAGCCACTTTTCACTGCAGAAGCCCAGTGTCAAAAGGCTTGAGGTGAATAAAAAGAAGGAGAATGTTAAAGAGGCCCTTTCAAAACCAAAATTATATGTTCGAATGAGCATGTTTTCTGTGCCCCTACAACATTAGCCATGCAGAAATGAGCCTGCTTGTCAGCGTCTATACTGTCTGCTTACTTTTACACTTCATTTAGGTAAGAGCCAGGCTCCAAGAGAGGACAGCTTTCTTACTAGTTGCATTTCTGAGTTTTTGAGCACCAACACAAAGGTACAGTGTTCACAAGCAAAGACACCGAGGAACCTTAACTAACACATATTTGTTATTTGCTCCAACTCTTTCACCAGTTTCTGGATTTTTTTTTCAATGCCAACTTCACACAGACCCCCTCACCATTATCAAGCCCATGTGACATTTGATAACTTCTTTATAAAGTTAATTTTAAATGACTTTTAACATGTTAATGCAGTTTTTATTAGTATTATTTCATTCTGTTCTTCCTTTTCCCTGCCCCAGCTCCTGCTTATGTCACCCCCTCCATAGATAAAAACAACACCTCTGAATATCCTCTCAAACGTAATAGCTGACATTCAATAACCAAGAGAGTTGGGAGTAATGAATAATCTGACTAATTGAATCTCGTGTAGACACACCCCTCATCCTGGAGAAATCTGCTTTGGTGTGGCAGTAGCCAAATAATGCAAGTCAAGATTGTGAAATGCCAAGATGCAATGTCAGAAAGCACCTCCTCCAGCATCTATGGAAACAATCATGCCTAAAGACAGTGTGCCGTGGATGACACAGCATTTGGCAAATGACTCAACCTGTTTGAGAGGTTCTGGGTGAGCTCCTGAGGAGACCAGCTCCACCAGGACACCAGCCATGCTCGAAGACAGAAGAAAACAGAATTTAGCTCAAGTTAAACTCTTCATGTCTTCATTCATCTCACACTCAGCCCAGCCTTGTTTCTGGGTGAGTGCTTTCCTGGGGTTTCTCTTGCACATAGTAGCTATTGTATAGATAATTAAAAGCAAGCATAATAACTTAAGTCATGAACTTAGTCACTAATAAAATCAGTGGGCAGAGACAAAGAAAAAAAAAAGGGGAGATACGCGAACCATATGCCAAAAGTAAAAACAAATCATTTGTCTTTCTCAGTTCCCACGAACACAAATAACAACATATCACAACACAATGGAACACTATGCATTGGTGAAAAAAGATATAATGAAGTTTATTATAGAGGAATTTGCTTGCTTTTTCCATTTCTACTCCAATTATCTGCTTGATGAAAAAAAAACACCTCACTTAATGATTGTGGGTGCTTTTGTAGCCTCCAAAGTCTATGTAAAAAAAAAAAATATTTACATTCTGTATGTACACATGTGGGTAAAATTCTTCAAAAACCATTTTAAAAACCACTTTTTCTAAGCAAAAGTCTATTGTCTTTCAAAAATCAATATAGAAATTAATATACTAAGATCAAGCTCCTAACATTGCATATTATCTAAGACATACATGTAGTTGAGGGAAATGCCTAATTAATAATATTTTAATGTACAGGCGCAATGCCCAACTCCTCCACCTTCCTTACACCTAAACCATACATGTAAATGTCACATTCTGTGTGCACATCTACAGGGGTGGAATTATCTCTCAGTACTTTTATTATGCCCGTACTTTTTGTTTACCTCTACATATATGTTTATAACTGAGCTTTAAATACTGGAGACTCCGGACAACCGTTCCTATCCTGATGATGGCATTCCTTGCTAAGAAGAGGCTTGACATTTGACATGCCCTCAACAGAGCATGAGGGGACCTTCTTCACATTACTCACAATGATGACACCATGAACCATGAACAGCCTTCCCTGTTCACAAAAGGCATGTTCTTCCTCAACATTTGCCTTCCAGTGAAATACCCTGCCCTGAATTCTTTACTTTTTATTTCCCTTGTACGTGGATTTATTTTTCCACTGTTTATTGGGAAAAGAGTTCTCCCATTCCTCCTCTGCTATCCTGAGTTTCCATCATGGCGTCCACCGATCCACCTGCCTGAAGCATGGCACTTGGTTGAACATCTGGCTTCATTACTCCTCCCAAACTCCCTCCTCTGACACATTCTCCTAGTACTGCTAGAGACACATTTGCTCTTTTGATAGAAACTATTTTTCCCCCAAATGCAGTCATCCTTCCTAATACCCAGGAAGCTTCAGGAGTTCCATGAACCTAAGAGATGGGAACAAAGGGATAGAAGACCACACAAAAGTATTGTACTTCCTCCTGACAGATATCATTTGAAAATCTTCTTCCAACATCTCCCAAAAGCAGAAAGGCTGGAACACCAGAAGTTTTCACTTCAGTACAACAATTACTCATGCTGGTGTTTCAAAAGCTGATGGGAACACACCTTCCCCACAAAGGGAGGCAACTTCTCTAATGTCCAAGGCCTGATGTTGGAATGGGCCATAGACCCATCAGAGATCTCTGACTTAATTGGTTTCACTTACAAAGTCTGGTTTTCTGCAGCCCATTCCTAGATCTTTCTTTTGCAAACTGATACTTAATAACTAGGAATCCACAAATTCCAACCAATTAGGTGGCTGTACCAGGCTTGCTTTTGATTGCTCTTACCTCCTTAAGAAATGAAGGAGCTAGGGTGTAGTCACAGCCATCATCATCATCATCTAATCATTCAACTCTGACCATTTCAGTAGAAAGAAAACATTATTCAAACCTTCCTAATACAGCCTCCTGTCAAGCAAAGCAGCAGAAGCCAGCTCATGCCAGGAGCAGAACAAATGCAGAAAGCACCCAGCCCCCCAAAATTCTGACCTTACCCCGAATCATTTTATATCAGCACCAAACCCCTTCACTGCCAAATGAGAGCAAAGTAACAGCAGCCCTCATTAAAGACTCCAGCTCAGGTCACCTAATGTCACGATGGCTCAATATCTGTCACTCCCAAATCTAACCTGTGCAACAGGTACCCCGACTGGCACTAAGACTCTCTTGAACATAATCACTGGGCAGGCCACCCCAGATGGGGCTCCCCGTGGCCTATAGCCCCACATCTCTCAGCTCCCTGGCCCCGGGGAGCCAGGAGAAGCGTGGTGGGTGCAGCTCACCTGTTTGTAGGCATCTAGAAGGAAGCTCTTCCAGACACAGCGCAATCCCTCTGAGGTCAGCATGCGCCGCCACTCTCCACGAGTGGACTTGGAGCGGCTGAGAAGCAGCGCCACGTGCTTGAGCAGAATGACCGAGTCATAGAGCGCCAGGAAGAGGCAGTTGGAGAAAAAGACTGGCAGAATCTGCAGTGTGATCAGCAGGTCTACGCTGAGAAGTCCCATCTTCTCTGCCTCCTCAGTCAGTCCCCTGTGCGCTTTGCTTCACCCTCTTTTTGAAAAGGAAGGTGGTGATAGAGGAGGTGGGGGGACCAGGGTGGAGGTTGGGAGTGGGGTGGGGGGGTGGAGAGGGAGAAAAACTAAATTAGAAGGAAGCCCAAGTTGTCTCTTCTTTGAAAGAAGCAGAAATGGCAAGACCAAGTTCAGTCTCTGCAGCCCAGCAGTTGGAGTGTGCCCATCAATTCATTCAATTCCGAGATGCTTTTTTTCCCCAGAATTTAAGATGTTAAAAAAAAAAAAGAAAGAAAGAAAAAAGAAAGAAACTGGCGTACCAGTCCCTAATCCATTTACCCCTGTCAGAGTCCGTTAAAGACAGGAAGTTCAACTTTCATTTCCAGGCACCTATGAGACTGCAGAGATGGTAAAATTTCTTTTAGCTTTTCATGTCCCTTTAAACGCAGTCTGGCTTCTTGGCAGTGCCAGTTTCTTAACTGTGCTGTAAGGGTAGGGATTGTTTGTTTGTTTTTTCTTTCTTTCTTTCTGTCTGTCTGTCTTTACTCCGTTTTCAACATACTTTCTCTTCTCCTCCTCCCAGCCTGTCTCACTCTGTCTGTCCTTCCTCCAGGTTCTCCAGGAGCGGCTGAGTCCTCTGCCCCCTCCCTCTGGCTTTTTCCTCCTTGCTATCTTCTGCCTCCGCTGCAGAGCAGAGTGCCTCCCTCTGCCGCCCAGTGAGTCTCCCTGAAGCCTTTTATACATTCCCTGGCTAATTGCTGCAATAGAGAAATGAAAGCCTAATCTTGCTAAAGATCTTGACGTCATTGAGAAAGAGGGCTTTACTTTGGCCAGGAGTGCAGTGAACAGAAAAGCAAAACTCCACAACTTTTTTTTTTTTTTCAAAGAAGGGGTGGGGAAAAAGACAGTGGGATTTTGCTTTGTGATTTAAAGGGAGAGAAAGAAAAAAGGAGTTACCTTTGACAGCTCTCAGGAAATGCTTTCAAACTGAAAGGTGATTTGTAGATTAATATGTTAACACTTTCCTCTGATTATCATTTGCATTAACTTACCAGGAGTTTTGGCAAGAAAGACTCTTGGCAAGCAGGTAGAGAAGAGAAAGAGCGAACATAGATGGTCTTTGCCCCATTTTTTAAAGAAGAAGAATAATGTGAGCTTTGCACCCTTATATCATGATTGTTTTTCCACCAGATTTGGATCCTGGGTCCTATGAACTCTTATTTTATTTATTTGTTTGTTTATTTATTTATTTATTTACTTAGTAATGATCTTATCTAAGAGAACACAAAGTGAGTTTTGAGTTGGAAAAGCTGTGAACTATTTGAGAGCACCACCGTATTTTGTGAAAATTTATTCCCAAACTCAATACAAGTATTATTTGTGGTCTTAAAGTATAACAATCACCTTCCAGCCAAAGAAGGAGCTGAGTGACCAAAACTTTTAGTGTCATTTTTCTTCAACACTGATAAAACAAAATTTCTATTCATTGGCATTTAGATGCATGAGGCCAGGAAACTGATTATTTATGAGCATCCTTTAAACTCAGCCCTTCCATTAAGAGACCTGAAGCTTTGAGAAACCATTTCTTTTCCTTGAGAAAAATAAAATAAGAGTTAAAAAAAAAAAGTATAGAGGTGGTTAGGAACAAAGCAAGAATTGGCAACAGGTGTCCCTTGGGCCTCAATGACTTCCTTGCCTTTTAAATAACAGGACAGTTATTTAAGCAGGTACAGCCTGGCAACCACAGCTCATTATCCCTACCTCTTTCTGCTTTTCCTCCCTCCCTTACCTAACAGAGATCCTCTAGGAAAGACAATTTTTTAAAGGTAGCAGAATTTTCTAAAGGTAGCAGTGGCAATTATAGACACTGGGGTGGACACACAAAATTTTAATTAAAACTCAATTAACTGAGCTTTCTATATGCTAAACTGTAGATACAAACAGGTTGTCAGTCTGTTGCTCTTCTGGATTTCGTCTCTGCCCTCTTCTCTATATGACAGAACTTTAAAGCCTAGACAGAGTGGGGGTCATTCTCTGTAGGGGGCATGGGCTAGCTACAATCTATATATGGAGGTATTTTGCTCAGCTGGCAGGGTACTTTTGAAAAACAGTCAAAGGAGACAGTAAGATCTGTGTCACCCACAACTCTTGTCCGTACCTTGCCATCTCCCCTGCGCTTAAGGATCCTAGTCGGCACATGTTCAGCTCAGGGAGGATGTTCCGAATGAGTGACTACCTAGGGCATTAGAGGGTTCACCTTTGCTTCACACTAGGGGGCGCCATTCACACACACCATGACAGTGGAGAGGCGCCCTGGAATTCTAAAATGAGGCAGCTTTTTACATGGCCCTCGCAAAAGACAATGGCTCCCTACCATCTTATCTTTTTCTTCTCTTTCTTTCTTTTTCCGTTTTTTTTTTTTTTCATCAGTTGTGAGGTTTGGGTGTATACCTCACTGACTTCAGATATTTGAAACGTAAACATAAACCACAGAGCATTTGTCCTTGGGCTAGCATGTGTTGTTTGCAAAAGGATATCAATCACACACCATATTTATGCTTCCCATTCTTTCAAACTTCTCGATGCCTTTATGGGAGGAAAGGAAGGACAAAGAGGAGCTACACTATTAGTGTAGGTGAGAACACATCAATACCCAGTAAAGTCACTGACAACTAGGACAGAAGTATGACCCCGCTCCCCCAGCCCCACCCCCCTAGAAATGAAGCTTCTATTCACTGCCCAACCTTGAAATTCTCAGGCCTTCATAAAGATATTCTGAGAAGGAGAAAAGTAAACCGATTCTCCTTCCCTTGTCCCTCACTCTAACGACCTAAGGTGTGATCGGAAATGGTGTTTTAAGATTAGTGGGAAGTCAGAAAAGGCTTCCTTTTCAAATACAAAGTACAGAATCTGGGCCCAGGGGTCTTTCCTGAGACTGATACTCCAACCAAGGACTATGCATGGAGATAACCTAAGACCCCTGCACAGATGTAGCCCATGACAGTTCAGTATCCAAGTGGGTTCCATTGTGATAGGAACATGAACATGAATCAGTTCTCTGACATGAACTGATTGGCCTGCTCTTTAATTACCTCCCCCTGAGGGGGAAGCAGCATTACCAGGCCACAGAAGAAGACAACACAGCCACTCCTGATGAGACCTAATTGACTAGGATCAGAAGGAAGGAAAAGAAGTCCTCCCCTATCAGTGGACTTGGGGAGGAGCATGCATGAGGAGGGTGGAGGAAGGGAGGGATTGAGACCGGGAGGAGGGAGAGAACCACAGGGGGGATACAAAGTGAATAAAGTGTAATTAATAAAGAAAAAAAGTAGTTAAAGGTCAGAATTATAACCACTGGATGCTGGGTTGTTTTTTGTTTGTTTGTTTGTTTTTTCACTCCTTTATTTGAAATTAGAAGTGCTGGAATGGAATTTTAAACTATAGGAATATGAGTAGCCAGTGACCAACCTGATTAAATCATTTGTCAGATTTCTATCGATTTTCTTCTAGGTGAATGAGTCACGGAGCTGAGCATCTTCTACTATCTGTCTGACACCTTGGAGATAAATCACAGTCCTCCAAAGCTAGGTGTCTCTGAATTCCCCATTGCTTGCTATGCTTATTCATGATAGTAAGCGTTTTTGATCGTCAAGTGATTTGATACTCTTTAAGTCGTAGAATAATGATGCGGAGGCATATGGTTTTCCCCATCACCCTAATGAGGAAAAGAGTGGCTCCGTGTGATGGAACAGCCAAGTCATGTGGGCTATAATCCTGAATTCTAAACTTCACTCTTCTTTATTTTTTTAATTTTAATTTATTTTTTTATTCGCTTTACATTGTGGTTGTATCCCCATCTCTCTTCCCCTTCTACTCCCACCCTTTCCCTCCCGCCATCCCTCCCTTCCTCCTTGTCTATTCCTCAGAAAAGGGGCGCGCCCTTTCCCATCCACCCCTAGCTCATCAAGTTACATCAAGACTGATCCTGTCCTCTTTCTCCGTGGCCTGGCAAGGCATTCCTGCCAGGGGGAAGTGATCAAAAAGCTGCAAGTCTGATGCAGTCCCCACTTCCCTTACTAGAGGACCCACTTGAAGCCCAAGCGGCCCATCTGCTACGTCTTTGTAGGGGGCTAGGTCCAGTCACGCATGGTCCTTGGCTGATGCTTCCATCTCCGAAAGCCCCTTTGGGCCCTGGTTAGTTGGCTCTGTTGGTCTTCTTGTGGAACTCCTGCCAACTCCAGACAAAAGAACCTCACTCTTCTTAACAACCGGTGTTCTTGTTGCAGCTCAGGTCATGGCGCTAAGAATCAAAAACTCTTGTGAAAGATGGTTGACTAGGAATTTTATCTTCTAAATTACAACGAATATCTAGAACTTAACATCAGTTTAATAATCATTCTCTTGGTTCAGATTTCATGTTACACTGAACAGGTTTGGATATCCTCTTGATGATGAAATTGTCCCTAGCAGTCAATATGCTAATGAAGCCAGTGCAAGCCAGCATAGGACACGGTGGTTGAATTTGACCATGCATTGTTGTACACAGGTTTTCATTCCCAAAGACATAGCCCAGGAAAAAAACACTCTAGGCATTTCTAATAAGTACAAAACCACTGTAAAATTGTTTAAATTTTTTCCTCCCTTTCACAGTAAGAGGGCATCAAATCGTGCTATTGGCTCCCTTTACTTGAAAAAAAATAACAAATTATGAGCCTTCCTTTAGTTTGCTTACATCTTGGCTCGTCAATTGAAATTAATAAAATAAAATTGGGTGACCTAAAAGCTAACTTGATATTTTGGAGCAGGGCAGATGTCATTCTATTTCCCTCATTTTCATCTAAAAAAGGAAGCAAATACCAAAAGGATTTACAGTTAGCTCATCCATGGACATACAAGCCACCTTGGTTTTAAGAATTATAGTCTGCATATGATTTGTCATTCATATGCATTCGTCAAATGCACAATAAACATGAGGTTTTGTCTTCATTAAAAATCTGTAGAACGAATGCAACAATTATTAATCCAAAAATTCATGGAAAGGACAAATGTGCTGAGTAGGGTCTTGAAAAGAACTCT